TCATGGCAAATCATGGCAATATCATGGATATTGGGATAATACAATGACAATGCTATAGTAATATCATGGTATTCTTTCCCTTTTAAGTACCATGGTATATGAATATGATAATCAGTACTATGGAATAGGTCAGAAAACCAATGTATCACTAATACCATCACAAATCCATGATATATACTACTTTTTGTAAACTTTTAAAAACAAACTCTTATATGTACATTGGGGTCGATATGGAAGGTAATTGCGATATTTTATCTCACAATTCTGTTATTTTTCTTGCAAATCTGAGTTTATGTCTCACAATTCGTACATTTTCCCCACACTTCTGAGAAAAAGTCGTATTAACTCACAATTGAGAAATATAAACTCGTAATTCAGAGATAAACAGTCAAAAATGTGAGATATAAAACTCACAAATGCAAAGAATAAAAAAAAAAAAAGTGAAATAAAAAGTCACAATTAACTTTTTTATTTATTTATTCCTTTGCGCTGAAAAAAGAAATGTAAAAATATTTTAGAATTGTGAGGTGAAAAAAAAACCACACAAATAATTTATAATTATTTGAAGCAGAATAAAAAAAATTATTTTTTTTAATCTCACAATTCTCGCTTTTTTTCTCTCAATAGCCAGTTAACATGGTTCTGTGTTTATATCTCTCAACTCAGACTTTTTTTTTTTCTCAGAATTGCCGGAAAAGAGTTTCAGAACTCAGAATTGCAAGCAAAATCAGAATTGTGAGATAAAAAGTCACACCTTTTATTCTCTATTCCGTAAGAGTAAAAAAGCTTTCATAGATTCCACTTTTTCTTATTTAATAACCTTTTGGGTCACAAATGACATCCTCTGCATAGCAATTTGTGAATTTGAATTAATGTAAATAACATATACCTTTTTTTTTTATTAGTAACCTAAAAATAGTGGAGGATCTTAACTAGTTTTGTTTAAATTAGATTTTGAATGCCATATTTTCAGTGTGAATCTCAGACTTTTGGAGCCCACTGAACATACATCACCAATGACACCTACTGTACGAATGGAAAAAATAAACAGAGAGAACAATAAACAGTGACAGAAGACACATTTGATAAGCATCTTAGTGCGAACGCCCAGGTCAAGCCCTCCACCTCTCAGTACAGACTGTACTGCAACGTCCATGCAAATGTCCAGCGAGGACCTCATTCATTCATTCCTCGCTCCTGAAGAGCAGCAGACACAACAGACGCCTCAGCACAAACACACAGCGCTCGTAAATACCTTCAGATGAATGTCTGACACACCTGCGGGTCTGTGCATGTACATGTAGGCGTGTGTTTGTCTGCAGAAGTGTGCATTCATCATTCAGACTGGAGACACAAGCCTCCCCAGAGTTTTCAGTGACACTGCCATCATTCCATCATGCCTGCTCTTCAAGATCAAAGCCTGTCAAATTTAATCTTAAATCTTAAAAAAAAATAAATAAATAAAATTAAATCCAAATATACTATATACATTTTTAAATAAACAAATAAATAAACAAATACATATTTTATATGAATAAAATTTTATTTACTTTATCATCATCATCATCATCATCATCATCATCAACATCACCATAGTCATGTATTATGTTTATGTCTCACAATTCGTACATTTTCCCCACACTTCTGAGAAAAAGTCGTATTAACTCACAATTGAGAAATATAAACTCGTAATTCAGAGATAAACAGTCAAAAATGTGAGATATAAAACTCACAAATGCAAAGAATAAAAAAATAAAAAGTGAAATAAAAAGTCACAATTAACTTTTTTATTTATTTATTCCTTTGCGCTGAAAAAAGAAATGTAAAAATATTTTAGAATTGTGAGGTGAAAAAAAAACCACACAAATAATTTATAATTCTTTGAAGCAGAATAAAAAAAAGGATTTTTTTTTATCTCACAATTCTCGCTTTTTTTCTCTCAATAGCCAGTTAACATGGTTCTGTGTTTATATCTCTCAACTCAGACTTTTTTTTTCTTCTCAGAATTGCCGGAAAAGAGTTTCAGAACTCAGAATTGCAAGCAAAATCAGAATTGTGAGATAAAAAGTCACACCTTTTATTCTCTATTCCGTAAGAGTAAAAAAGCTTTCATAGATTCCACTTTTTCTTATTTAATAACCTTTTGGGTCACAAATGACATCCTCTGCATAGCAATTTGTGAATTTGAATTAATGTAAATAACATATACCTTTTTTTTTTATTAGTAACCTAAAAATAGTGGAGGATCTTAACTAGTTTTGTTTAAATTAGATTTTGAATGCCATATTTTCAGTGTGAATCTCTGACTTTTGGAGCCCACTGAACATACATCACCAATGACACCTACTGTACGAATGGAAAAAATAAACAGAGAGAACAATAAACAGTGACAGAAGACACATTTGATAAGCATCTTAGTGCGAACGCCCAGGTCAAGCCCTCCACCTCTCAGTACAGACTGTACTGCAACGTCCATGCAAATGTCCAGCGAGGACCTCATTCATTCATTCCTCGCTCCTGAAGAGCAGCAGACACAACAGACGCCTCAGCACAAACACACAGCGCTCGTAAATACCTTCAGATGAATGTCTGACACACCTGCGGGTCTGTGCATGTACATGTAGGCGTGTGTTTGTCTGCAGAAGTGTGCATTCATCATTCAGACTGGAGACACAAGCCTCCCCAGAGTTTTCAGTGACCCTGCCATCATTCCATCATGCCTGCTCTTCAAGATCAAAGCCTGTCAAATTTAATCTTAAATCTTAAAAAAAAATAAATAAATAAAATTAAATCCAAATATACTATATACATTTTTAAATAAACAAATAAATAAACAAATACATATTTTATATGAATAAAATTTTATTTACTTTATCATCATCATCATCATCATCATCATCATCAACATCACCATAGTCATGTATTATTGCGAATTTAACATGGAAGATAAATCCCAACCTACTATATAACTTTCTATAGTATTTTTAATAAATAAATCACTAAAAACTTATTTATATTATTATTATTATTATTATTATTGTTGTTGTTGTTGTTGTTGTTGTTGCTGTTGTTCTTGTTGTAACTTTTTAAAATAAATTAATGAATTAAAACTATAATTTAAATAATAAATTAAGTTATAATAATAATAAACAATTTAAGTAAGAAGAAGACTAACAATAACAACATCAATAATAATAATAATAATAATAATAATAATAATAATAATAATAATAATAATAATAATAATAATAATAATAATAATAATAATAATAAT